AACTCTGTTGTCACATTATTATAGGCCCTGTACACTCAGATTTTCAACTCAGCAGTGATCTAGCCATTATTAGAGTTTTATATTTAACTCTGAGGTCTCGATTTTGAAATGTACATGGAACAGTTAGAAAAAGTCTATTATAAAACAGCAAAAATCATAACCATGGTAAAATAAAAAATATTGACGAAACAGAATATTTAGCAGTGTGAATGCATTAATGAAAATTTCAATGCCCAAGCAGTTGGACCATAACTATAGTATTTGGTTGATCCAATTATATATTTTTTCTAACAAGCCATTCAATGTAATGTACATTCTATTCTTTTTCATATGACAATAACTTCAACTCAAAATAATTTGAGAGAATCTTCACAATTCTTGTTAAACCATAAACAAGTTATATTTCGAGTCTCTACATTGCATTTATGCCTTATACTACATATACTAAATGCTTCAAATATCATAACAACCCCTAAAGAAGCCTGATCTATACCCCACATCTCTAGCTTGCCCATTAGACTCACGCAGAAAAATACTCAAGCCCAGACCCTCCCCCCCCCCGCCATCCCCAGGCCAATTATATCAGCATCTATGAGGCCCAGGCATTGATATTTTAAATCTCTCCAAATTATACCAAAATGCAGAGAGTTGAGAACAAGGCTCCAAACCACAAGGTACAACAAATAGGATCACACAAAAAGAAAATCTCCAAAGAAGGTATAAACACAAGATATCTTACCTCCAGCAAACTGTTTATCCCTTATTAATGAATTCCTGTGAGTTTTTTCCCTCCTGTTAACCTTCAACTTTAGGACATTGGAAAGTGACTGAGAGCCCTTCAGTTGGTTTTGCTTCCTTGTTCGGCATGTGTGGTTTGTGGACAAGCTGCCCAGAACATGGTGAAAGACAACCACAATTAAACCTGCCTCAAGTCAGCAGTGGTTTTCTACATCAGTGAGGTTTTTCTTAGAACCCTAAAAGAGGGTGAAAAAGAATATATAAATGAAAGAATCAAATACACTCTCAAAGGTAAAGATCACAGTTTGGGTATGGTGGGAGGTAGGTAAGCTATTGTAAACAAAGGAGTGATGCCTTCAATATTTTTTTAAAATATACTTTCATTAATTTCAGAGAGGAAGGGAGAGGGAGAGAGAGAAACATCAATGATGAGAGAAAATCATTGATCGGCTGCCTCCTGCACCCCCGCCCCCCCAATCCCCACTGGGGATCGAGCCCGCAACCCAGACATGTATCCTTGACCGGAATCGAACCTGGGACCCTTCAAGTCCACAGGCCAATATTCTATCCACCGAGCCAAATCGGCTAGGGTTTCAATATCTATATAATAAAAGCCTAAGCAACTGTTATGGTGGAACCACCAGAAGAACTGGTTGCTATGATGCGCACTGACCACCAGGGGACAGACGCTCCATGCAGGAGTTGCCCCCTGGTGGTCAGTGTGCTCCCACGGGGTGGGGGGTGGGATGGGGGGATGAGCGGGCGCACTTAGCCATAAGCCGGGCTCATGGCTGGTGAGCACAGAAGCAGTAGCGGAGCCTCTCCTGCCTCTGCAGCAGCACTAAGGAGCAGCGAGCAGGTGGGCGGTAAGGAGTGAGGGCTCCTGTACTGCGAGAGGGCACAGGCTGGGCTGAGGGACACCCCAGTGCACGAATTTTGTGTACCAGGCCTTTAGTTTTTAAATAACTCTTTGACTAACGATTAAGAAGTAAAATCTATATTCTACATCTATTTTGCATTATACCTTAGGTTTCTTTGTAATGGACTATAGGGCTCTTTCAAAAGAAAAGGTACTACAATAAATAGTTAACCTTCAGTAAATATAATCTTGAGTAATTCAAAGTCTTAATTAGGAAAATAGTACTTAAAATATACTTTCTATTTCAGTTTCTTAAGGTGACCAGGTATTCCATATTATTTGTGTGAGTTCAAAGAGTATCTAATCAGAGGTCCTCAAACTTTTTAAACAGGGGGCCAGTTCACTGTCCCTCAGACATTCCACACATGTGCACTGCGGGCCCGGGACGAGTCGGCTGCTAAGCAGGACAGGCAGTGGTGGCAAAAACACCCGGCGGGCCGGATAAATGTTTTCAGAGGACTGCATATGGCCCACAGGCCGTAGTTTGAGGACCCCTGATATTCTAAGCTATAGAAAAACTACAAAGAAATGAAAAACACCTGTGATTTCTCTATCTGGATTAATCCCATTTTAACTAGTGAGAACTAGTAGCTACAAAGTTATCTGCAGTATTTCACAAGGGGCAGGCAGCATCCCTTGCTCTTTTTTATCAGTAGGCACTGCCCAAAGGTTGATACTGTAGGTGATGATGGAACAACTGAAGTTGTCTTTGCTCACTACTTCTCTGCCCTCTCTCCACTTCTTGCTAACTCCTGCCTCCATCTTAGCCTACAGACTTGATAATAATATCTATACTTTAAGTTTCATGCAGTCTAGTTGTTTTAGATATTTGGGCTATTTCAACAAACCAAACAAATGAAAATTGAAAAAAGAAACCTTGCCCTCATGGAATGGGAAAGTATAAAATAAATATAAAATATGCCCTGAAATATAAGGTAATCTGTGAAGTGAAGTAACTCAGCTGATGCAGGCACTCACAGAGATAACTAGAACGATGAAGTCTAAGTGCTTTTGATCAAATGCTTAAAGGTACTAGTGGCCTAATTTTTATTAATCCAAGTAGGTTTTAAATGACTTTAGATAATAGTAACAATGTGTAGCATTAAATATATATTACAAATAAAATACTTTTGCACATATTATCTCATTTAGTAGTTATAGCAATCTTGTGTCCAAAGTAGGAAAGGTAACTTTGTTAGGCCTTTTTTTTATAAATGACTCTTTTTAAAAAAAATATATTTTATTGATTTTTTACAGAGAGGAAGGAAGAGGGATAGAGAGTTAGAAACATCGATGAGAGAGAAACATTGACCAGCTGCCTCCTGCACACATCCTACTGGGGATGTGCCTGCAACCAAGGTACATGCCCTTGACCAGAATCAAACCTGGAACCTTTCAGTCTGCAGAACAACGCTCTATCCACTGAGCCAAACCAGTTTGGCTACAAATGACTCTTTCGGAAAGGTTATTGAGTGGGCCAAAAAGGACCAAACACGGACCAGGACAAGTGTTTTTTGTTGTTGTTTTTAGTCCAGTGGCCTTTTCATGTTCTACTACATATCCTAGTGGTACTAGAGAGGTTTTAATTTTTCAGTTGTGTTTGGGATATACTACAGTTAAGTCTTCAATTGTTTAGTACAAAAAGTAGCAATTGAGGATGGGAGAGAAATAAAGATGTTAAACAGTTGGACAAGTCTTCATGTAAAACCTAGGAGGGGTATACTTTCTATTAAAATTAAAAAAACCCCATCTGACGCCCTACTTTGATCCGGACTCTGCTAGGTGCAAAGTTACAAAATGTTTAAGACTAGATCCTGTCTTTGAGGGACCTTCTGTCTAGGGGACAGGTCACAAATCTAGTGATCTGGCCTCTGAAGCATTGATTAGGATTTATAAGGGTAGGAATTCAGAGGAAGGGTGATTCAGATAATAAAATCAAAAGAGGAGGCAAAAAGGCAGGCAAATGATGGTCTTTTGAGCATTAAAGGAGCCGCCAAAGTTTTTGTTTGATATACAAAATGTTCTTTTTTGTTTGTTTCTTGTTAGGTAAAATATTCACCATTAATGTGTTTGAAACCGGGAACTAAACTGACCTTTTTTTTTTTTAGCTGTTATTCCTATGCCTGCCCCCTTTTAAAGTTTAGAATCTATCGCTTAGGGGCCACACTATAAGGTAGAAAAACTTTTTCTAATAAAAAGTAATATAGCCGAGCCCTAACCGGTTTGGCTCAGTGGATTGAGCATTGGCCTGCGGACTGGAAGGTCCCAGGTTCAATTCTGGTCAAGGGCATGTACCTTGGTTGCCGGCACATACCCAGTGGGGAGTGTGCAGGAGGCAGCTGATCGATGTTTCTGACTCTCTATCCCTCTCTCTTCTTCTCTGTAAAAAATCAATAAACTATATTTAAAAAAAAAGTAATATAGCCGAACCAGTTTGGCTCTGTGGATAGAGCGTTGGCCTGCGGACTGAAGGGTCCCAGGTTCGATTCTGGTCAAGGGCATGCACCTTGGTTGTGGGCACATCCCCAGTAGGGAGCGTGCAGGAGGCAGCTGATGGATCTTTCTCATGGAGGTTTCTAACTCTCTATCCCTCCCCCTTCACCGCGACGTGCACCAATAAAATTTTTTTTTAAAAAAAGTAATATAACCACTATACAGCGGTGATACACTAAACAGTGAAATAAACCCTAAGCTCGTCTTAACACAACTGAACAGGCCATCAGGGCACTCGGGGTTTGAGCCAAGCCAATCAATGCCACTAACTGGCCGTGATCTTGGGCAATCACTTCTCAGGATGCCTCCCTTTCTGTCGTTAATATAAATATGACCCAAAAGGCCCACCTCCACAGGGCTTTGTGAGGGTGACTTAAAAATGCCAGTGAAAGCATTTCCTCTACCACACCTAAGGTGCCTTTGTTATTTCCGGGGTTCTTTCCAGTCTTGCCATTTTGAGATTTGGTGCCTCACAACCCAAAGGCCTAAGGCATCACCGTGAAAGCCAGACAGTCTTTCCCCACATTCATCCACATCCCTCACGGGTGGGTGCAGCTTCGGTAGAGTGAGGTCTTGCAGCTGAAGTCACCCAGTCCTGAAGGCCAGGAAAGGCGGACGGAAAGCTCTGGTTTCAGGCAGGGGGGACAAAAAACGAAAAAAAGGGAGCAAGCCAAAAAAAGACCATCACAGACAATGCCCCAGGCGCACGCGCAGTGAGCGCCCCGCGCCTCCCCAGCCTACGGGAGGGGGCGGACCGCGACGTGCACACGTCAGGCGCGCTGACGTTCGCGTAGCGTGCACCGCCCGCCAGCGTCCGTAGTTGGTTGGCTGTGCGTCAAGCTCTGCGGAGCCCTTCAGACAGGGGGGCGGGGCTTCCGCCTGGCGGGGCTGTGCGCGCTCACCCGCGGCAGAAGCTAACTCTTTTCCAGGTGCTCGCTCTCTCGTTAGGCACATGCACGCGTAGCCATCGAGGCAGTTCCGTCCCGTTTACCAAAGCATCTTCCCTTTGGTTACACCAGCTCTGGCTTAGGGAGGTGACTCTGTCATGTCGAACTCGCGGCCTAGGCCCCGCCGCGGCGCCGGGAGTGGCGCCCGGGCAGCCGGGCGGGACGAGCTGGTGTCGCGGTCCTTGCAGAGCGCCGAGCACTGCATGCGCGCCCAGGACTTCGGCACCGCTTACGCCCACTACCTCCTCGTGCTCAGCCTGGCGCCGGAGCTGAAAGACGACGTGAAGGTGAGGAGAGCCCTTCTTTCTCCCGCTTGCTGGCAGGTCCTCTGTTCTCCGAAGAGGAAATACGTACAGACATAAATAAATTGGGAGAAGGCGGCTAAGTTGGTTGCTGTTACTATTTACTGTTCAGCCTGGACTTCTTTTGTTCACACCCACAGCTAGCCCATCAGAAAATCCTGTCCGCCCCACCTTCAAAATAGATCCAGAATCTTACCACTTGTCACCACCTGCCCCTTTGCTACCCTGGTGGAAGCCTCAGTCATCTGCAGACTTGGAATAGGCTTGCAACTAGGCTCTGTCCTGCGGTTTACCCCTATGAAACCAGCGACAGGCGTGAGCTTTTCAAAACAGAAGTCAGATGACATCACTTTTCTAATTCAAAATTTCCTTCTCGCTCAGATTCCCAAGGCTCTATTGCAAATGAGTCCTCTGGTGATCACCTCCCATTTCCTATGTTGAATTCTACCATGTCCTGGCCTCCGTGCCTACTGTATACAGAAGGAATGTTATGGTTGCATACATGTTGGAATTAGCCTAAAGTATTCATTTGATGATGCATTCTTTAAGATTCGGTTATCAGCCGAAACCGGTTTGGCTCAGTGGATAGAGCGTCGGCCTGCGGACTGAAAGGTCCCAGGTTCGATTCCGGTCAAGGCCATGTACCTGGGTTGCGGGCACATCTCCAGTGGGGAGTGTGCAGGAGGCAGCTGATCGATGTTTCTCTCTCAACGATGTTTCTCTCTATCCCTCTCCCTTCCTCTCTTCTATTGAAATGAGGTACATTTTTTCCAAGTTATCTTAGAATTTATATTTGCAGAAGGGATTTAATTTTGCTTCAGTTTTCAGCCTCAAACTACTTTCCTTTATTTCACTCAGGGTTTCTCAACTTCAGTACCACCAACTAAAGTGGGTGGGATAATTCTTTGTTGTGGAGGCCTGTCCAGTGTACTGCAGCATGTTTAACAACAACCCTGACCTCCATCCAATAGATAATCAGTTTGTAGTTCACATAAATTTAGTGTGAATTTTAGGACCAGCTGGCTTAAAGGAGGGGAAGATGGTATGTTTAGATACAGTTTGCTTTTCTAGGTAGCAGTGGAATAATGGGTCATTTCAAGTGCATTTCCTCTATTCTTTGTTCCTTAGTTTCCTCTTGTGAAACTGGGACAATATCTTTTTACTAGATATTTAATGTGTATGAAAAGTACATCTAAAATTCATATTTCAATGCCTGGCATTTAGTAACTAGCTCTGTTTTCTGCAGAACAAAATTGTGTTTCTTTGGGCTTTTGAAAAATACCAGTCTCTTTAGTCTTTTTTCCTGTTACTCCCCATACCCACACTTCAGCCACACCAACTTTAACCTATTGATTCTCTAATCCATTTCACATAATCTGTGCTTTTTTTCCCTGTCACACCCTAGACTCTTCTTCCTTATATTCTTGGCTCTCTAGTAAACTTCATCAGAATTCAGTTTCAGGTTTTAACTTTTCTGTATAAAATATGTGAAGATGATATGTGTTCATGTTAAAGCTGGCATGACTAAAGCCTTCTCTCTTTCCACTGTGTTGCAGTGTGGAGACTGGAGGGAAATGTAATCGGAGGGAGGGTGACAGTCCAGCAAGTGGTTAAAGGGCCAGATTATGTTGTAACACTGGGATTGGAGAGGAGGTGACAGGTGTAAAGACATTGAGAGAGAACAGGCTGGGTTTGAAGCTAATCGTATTGGAGTTAAGGTAGCATTATAAGGTGACTAAATGGTTTTTGGTCAGGTGGTACCTTAACCTTATATCCTGTGTGAGAGGAATATGATGGATTCGTGTAGAACATTTTGAATTTTTTTCAAAATTGTATGTTAAAATGCTCTCTACAAGGCCTCTGTGAGGATTGGAACAGGATTTTTGTTGTTCATGCCATTCTTTACACACTGATTGTCCAGGAAATATTTGAGTTGAGCTGAATTTGAGGTGACGAAGGGTGCAATTCCTGGTGAGATGACTGGTAGGAAGTTATGAAGCTGAGGTTCAGAAGAGC